GTTTTTTAAGTTTGATATTCGGGTCAGGTTTTTTTTAAAAAAAAATCGTGATCGGGTTGGATTTTTAAAAGAAAATTTCGGGTTCGGGTCGGATCGGTTTTTTTTAAGTGTGATATTCGGGTTAGGTCAATTTTTTTTAAGTGTGATATTTGGGTCGGGTTCAGGTTTAGGGAGAAAAATACCCGACCCGAAAAAAAATATAATTTTATCTTATATATTTAGGAATAATTACAATAATACCCCTCTATATATAATTTGTTTTTTCAATTATGTCACTATTTTTATTGAATAAAAGTAATGTTTTTATTATTTCGGGTCGGGTGGGTTGAGTTTCTAATTCATATATTCGGGTCGGGTTGGGTGGACCAAAAACCTGATCCAACCCTACCAATGACATCCCTAATTGGGATATTTTAACTTATAATGTTTATTAGTATGATTTTATAATTTATTGAAATAAATAATCAATCAATAAAACAAAATTTAATACTTTTTAAATTTTTATAATATATTACTACATGTAAGTTATAAAACAAACTAAAATTAAGTAAAAAAACAAGAAAGATAATTCTGTCATTTTACATTACTGAAATCAAATTCATTTAACATGTCTGCGAACCAAACAGAATATGGAATTGGATTCCAATTTAATTTACTGCCAACTAAACAAAGTTTCAGATTCAGATTTCAATTCCTTCACAGATTCTAATTCTCTCATAAACATTCAAACGAATCAAACGCCACCTAAACGTAAAACTGAACTTTAGAGAAAGATGGATTTGATTTGAGACAACTGCCCGTAATTAGCTATGAAATCATTATTGTCAAAATCACAATCTGGTGTTTGATTTTTTTGTAAGCATAGGGTGGTCTCGAGTAGAGGTGTACAAAAAATTTAAATATTTGATTTTACGTAAAAAAATATCTGAAATCGGGTTTAGGAAAAATTGGTTTTTATACACCGAATCGGATATTTTAAAACCAGATAGTATAACCGGTTTGGAGAAAAATTGGACGACAGGATTTTTCATCGGATTAAAAAGCGGTTTGAAAAAAATCAAAAAAATTGGTTTGGGGTTTAAAAAATTGGACGACCTGATTTTTTTACCAGATTAAAAACCGGTTTTTTTCAAACCGAAACCGGTTACACCATCTGACCCTCCAAACCGGTTAGAATCTGAACCGATTTTTTTAAAATCCGAAAATTTTGAAACAAAGCTCGAATTGACTCGAAATCTCAAAGTTTAAAATTTTTAAGTTCGAATCGAACTCGAAATCCTGAACTGAAGCTCATTAGCAGCTCGAAATGAAAAAAAAATCTTAAACTTAACTCGATTGAAACCTGAAACTCAAACTCAAATATGAACCTTAAATACATAAAAATTTTACTTTATTTAAAAAAAATTAATACATAAAAATTAATATTATTAATAATTTATTTTTAAAAAATAAAATCTTAATATATTATATTTTTGAGTTGCTCACGAGCTTTTCGAATCCAATATCGAGTAGTTTATTTTGGCTCGTTAAAAACTCGAGACGAGCTCAAGCTCGATTCCATTCAATCCGAGTATTTATCAAGCCTTAATCGAGTAAATCTCGAATAACTCGATCTGTTTCATCTCATTTACAGTCTAGTCTCAAGCAATAGACTTAATGACACGTGCAGATTCGGCCAAAGTAGTGTAAGCATGTGGCAGATAATTTGTGTCCACTGTCTGCTTGTATCACATCACGTCTTGTATCACGTCAAAATGCATCTCATCATTTTCCGCGTTATTTGTTGTACCCATTGTTTGGTGTTGGGTATTTCATAATTTAAAAATCTTCTATTAAAGTTATTTTTAATTTAATGTTAGAATAATTTACTATCTTACTTCCTTTATTCTATACATATGAAAAAAAAGGGACAACTATTATTGTTTGGTGAACTCGACCCGTCTTGTCTTGTATCACGTCAGAATGCATCTCATCATATTTCATTTGCATTTTGATTCTTTTTACAATTTTTAAAATTTAATATAATTTAAATTGTGTTATTTGTTTGTCGCGTTCGAGGGATTTGTTAAAAAATTTAATTAATAAAAAATAATTAAATATTATTTAAAAGGTATAATGACAAATATAAATCCCGGGTTTGCAATGTTTTGCTAATTCGATTATGATTTCTTTTAGTTAAATTTTTGCTCTGCCTTTTTCCTTTTTTAATCAAATTGTTGCGGTTTTAACGAAAATGATGTTTGCTAGGTTTCCTTTTAAAATAATATAATGTATTTTAAGAAAGTTAATTATTATTTTAAGTTATATTTTTTTCTCTACTAGCATAAGCCTATTTTTCTTTTTTGATATTGTCGATGGTAACATAAGTCTTAATGTTTATTATTGACTATCATTGTTTATTTTTATTATTGTTTCCCATATCTTGTTTTAATTTGATATTTTATTCAACTTTCATTCTTATTTTTAATAAAAAAATCTTTTTTGTTTGACTTCTTTATATGTGTTCATTTATCTTTTTGACACGTTTATTTTTTCTCTTATAGCACGTTTCACTTTGCTCTTGTAAAACAATTCCTCTACCTTATGGCACGTTGTTCACCTACCTCTGTTGCAAGTATACGGTCGTGTATAGATTCTCAAAGTCGCTTGTATATGATTAATGATTGTTGTTAGTCTTTCAATGATTAAATTCTCTTTTGTGGTTATTTATCGATATATTCAGATCTATTTTGTGGAACATCATATAAAATTATTTTGGTTCAGTCGCCACTCTTTTATTATATTTAAAGCTTCTGGATAAAGACAAAACAATACCATTGACAATTACTGAGTTAATATAGATGATCGACGTCGTATTCCAAAAAATTTTACGACTGCCATTGCGCATTTGAGTTGTCATTTTTAATTTTTTATTTGTATTTCTAGTGTCCTAAAGATTATCTATTTGATCGGTTGCATCGTTAAGATTATATATTCTTTTGTTTCAATAAAATTTAATATATAAAATAAATTATTATATTAATAACATAAAAATAACAGTTTAATCAATTTTATTTAAAATACAATCATTTGTTAAGAAAAAATATAGAGGTTCAATTTTAGCCTTAAAAATTTAAACACGAATTCTTTTTTAAATAATCATTGATAAATGATCAATTTACCAACAAATCTAATTAAATAATTTCACGAATTTCATAACATAAAATGTTTTTAGGGTTAGTCACTCAAAGAGGAAATTTGATTATATTTGACCACCGACAAACCAATTAGAAAATAAATATCATTTGTGTGAGCAGAAAAACGACTGTAATGGTATGCAGAGAACGAACCAAAAGTCATAAGGATCGTACCACAAGAATATAAAAAAGTTGTGTCACAATAACAGAAAAAAGACGTGCCACATAGTATAGAAAAAAAGTGTCATAAAGATGTAAATTATTATTTAAGGTTGAAAAAAAAAACTAAAAAAAAAACATAGTATGAAAAAATATAAGGGAACTAATAATCACCCATGATCGACAACCAACATTAAGACTAATTTCGTTGGCGGCTAAACAAAAATCAAAGATAAAGATGAAGTGTGAAGAAGCCAGTGAATGATAATAAAAAATATTTTATATAAAATTGTAAAAAAAAATCAAATTGAATAAATGTAAAGTTCAAGGAATGAATTATAAAAAGAGTAAATTATTGTTAAAATAAAGATTGTATTTATAAAGATATTTTATAGCAGTAGAAAAGCATGTGATTCAAATTTCGTTAAAAATATATTTAGAATAGAAGAGAAATTGAGCTGGACATTCAATAAAAAAATAGATTTAAAATAACAGAGAAATTAAAATGAATATTCTTGAATTAAATTAAAAAAATTGAGTTAATCGGATTGATAAATAATACTTTATCGTTCATATTTTATTTAAATCTCTTAACCGAATAAATTTATAAAGTTTGATTGAGATCAATTTTTTAGAAAATTTAACTCAAATCAAATCATACTCACTCTCATTAAAGGGGGGCCAACTAGAGGCTCACTGAATCAGGTTCGCGTTAAACGACAAGATGAAAGGCAATTGTCCTAGTTACTATAAAAGGCATTAAAATAAGAAAATAAAAGATCTACCATGCCGGTGTTTTGACTGTTTATTGGCACCATTTTTAGATCACAAATCCTATTTTTTAGTAACATTAAGGCTAAACAAATATTTTGAATTAATTAGTTATTATTTTTAAAATCATAAAACATTTTCATTATAAATTGTATATATTTAGATAATAAATAATTGATTTTTATTAATTTAATAATATTACAAGGTAAAATTTATTTAAAAGACTCAATTATTTAACGATGAATGTTTATATATATACCAATTGTTTAAAGGCATAACATCAAAAATAGCCTCAAATATTTATCAAAATGGTCATTTTAGCTCATATTTTCCTTTGGAACATTTTGATCTCTAACATTCTACTTTGGGGTAAAAAGCTCACTCTATAGATGAAAATTATTGATTAACATATGATTAACGCTTCAAAATAAGAGTTTTTTAACCTAAAACGAAACATTGAGAGTTAAAATACAAAAAAAAAAGACAAAGTGATTATTCTATCAGATGTTATAATATTTTTTTCTATAATGAATTGTTTGGATCAAAATTATTTAAAAATAAAATAGAGGATGAAATAATTATTTTGATAAACGTTTGATACTAATTTTAACATTATATATTGTTTATTACTATTATTATTTGAAAATCCTTGTTTAAATTAAAACCTTGAAGTTGGGCACATTTAAAATGACGCCATGATTTGAATTTTTTTTTTTGTTTTGTTGAAGAGTTGATTTCATTGTATATATGTAAAAAAACAAATTGAGTGGCAGTGGTTGGAAAGATCAGTTTACAGTTTCCTTAATCAAAATTTCACCGTACGTCGTGCAATAAAATGGAGCCTCACAGTCATAAAGGAACCATATATTATACATCAACTACACTGCTAAAGTTTCATCGACTTCCCTAGGAATCTAATTATCCCTTTTCTTTTCATCATGGCTTGCCCGGAAACTTTCTCCGACGAACCATTGACTCCGGCCGGCGGCTTTTTCTTCAGCCGCAAACACATCGTCATCCACTGTACCCTCCGCGGCAAAAACCCCGCAGACATAGATGCTATTAAATCGGCTATTAAGTCTTCGTTGATGGTCCAACATCCCAGATTTTGCAGCCTTTTAGTTCACGACAAGAAGGGGTTCGAGCACTGGAGAAGAACCCAAATAGACATTGACCGGCACGTGATTGTCATCAACAATCGGCTCGATAAATCCGGCGATTTTGTTTTCGAATACCAGGGGTCCACCGCCGAAGAAGACGACGAAGCGGCGGTGAATCAGTACGTAGCGGATTTAACAGTGAGTTGTCCTTTGAGTATGGACAAGCCCTTGTGGGAATTACATGTATTGATGGCGCATAAATGCGCCGTTTTCAGGATTCATCATGCTTTAGGCGATGGGATCTCTTTGATGTCCATGTTGATGGCCAGTTGTCGGAGGACGGACGATGCTGACGCGCTTCCTAGGATGGTTCCCGACAAGAGACCGGAGATTAAGGGCGGGAAAGGAAGGGAATGGTTTTGGTTGTTTGGTGTCTTGTGGTGGTTTCTGAAGATGGTTCTTTTCACTTTGGCGTTTTCAATGGAGTTTGTGCTGAAGACTTTTTTGTTTTCCGACGAGAAAACTGTGATCACCGGCGGTGACGGAGTGGAACTCTGGCCGAGGAAACTGGTTACTGCTAAGTTTTTGCTTGACGACATGAAGGCAGTCAAAAGGGCTGTACCCAACACTGTAAGTGACAAAAAATTACAGTTTTTACCCTAAATCCTATGATTATTATAATTGGGTTGTCGTGATTTCCAACAATTTTGGAACTTTTGCTCATTTGGCTGTTGGATAATTTGCCTGAATCTACTGTCTTTCCTGGAAATTGGGGATGACTCGTCATCTGTTCATGAAAAAAGGTTGGGTTAGCATATATGTTTTGGTATTTGAATTTGGCTTTAGCTTAATTTGGTACTTGATAATTTTCCAACTAAGTACCTAATTTTGGCTTTAAAGTTCAATGTTTAAACTTTTTTTCTCTTGTTCAATTAAGTATTTGAATGACCTTTTTAAAAAAAAAAAAATTGGCACCAAAATTTGACTTATTGATTCAAATTACTTAAAAATTCTCGATATCGATTTAAAAAATCAAGTTAAATGTCAATTGTACAAAAAAAAAACCAATTTGATATATACTTAATTCGACCATAAAAATTTAGGTACCAAATTAAATATTAGGTTGTGTTTGTTTGCTGTAATTGGAATTACGGAATTGGTTTTCCTCGAATTTTCGTGTTGTTTCACGTAATTTTTTTCGGAAAAATTTTTGTGTTTGTTTTACGTAATTAGTTTTCCGGAATTAATTCATTTTCCTAGTAATATAATTTCTTTGTGTTTTTGTAAAATGACTACGAATTTATTTTCTAAGTCATTTTCCGAACTTTTCACTTCAAAAATAAATACTCAATAATTTTATTTTATAATTAAATTAATAAAATATTTTAATATCATTTCATCAAAATATTATTTATTTATTTATTAATATTTATAATAATATATATTATATTTTTAATATTATATAAAATAATCAGTTATATTATAATAATATAGATATTATATATTTATTTTAATAATATATAATAAAATTTATATATTTAATGATGAATAATATTATTTATATATTTAAATAATATTTTAATAAAATATTTAAAATATACTAATTAATATTTTTAAAATATAATATAACACTATTATTTATAAATAATTAATATAATTTATAATATTTTATTTCACTAAAATATAAAAAAAATATTATTTTTATTAATAAAATTATAAAAATAATATTTAATAATAAATAAATTATTTTAATATTTTAAAATAATAATATTAAGCTCTATGATAAATAATATTATTTATTATATTTAGTATTTGTAATAAATAATTTTTAAAAAACTCTTCAACTAGTGGAAAAAAGTTTAAATAACATCTTCCAAACATCATAAAACGTTTTCTAAATGTTTTCAGAAAAAATAATTATTTTACGGAAAACATTTTCGAAAAACGTTTTCAGAAATGTAATTCATTTTTCAGAATTCAAATTTCAGTAATTCATTTTCCAGTTTCAGTAATTCAAATTCTAGTAATTTATTTTTCAAAAAATCAATTACAGCCAAACAAACAAACATTTAAAGTCAAATTGAAGTTCCTGATTGTACCAAAAAGTTTATGTACTAAATTATACCTTCAAGTTGAAATTTAAATTTAGTTTCGAAAATGTATATTTAATTGCAGAAGTCATCCTCAAATTATTGAGCAAATTTTAAATTAGGCCCTGAACATCCAATACTCCCAATGAAATAAACTAAATTCTAAGTTAAACCGTAAACATTTAGTGCTCCCGTTGAACCTCAATTTAAAGTATGGTCCCAATCAAATCATTGCAGCCCTGAGCTTCCGTGTAAGATGTCGTCTGAATTTGACGTGTTTGCCCTTTTAAACTCCTATAAATTAATAAATATTTTCAATAATTTTTTTTAAGTTGACATTTAATATCAATATCAACTATATTATAATAATAAAAAACTATATCATAAAAGCAATTAACTTTTGTTTTTGACTAACCTAAGAAGCTCCAATAATCTACTCCTTTCCTCATCTTTTGCAATATGTTGCAGACCATTAATGATGTCCTCCTTGGAGTTGTTTCATCTGGGCTCTCAAGGTACTTAGACCATCGAACACCAAATGGTAAACTCTTTTTCCCTAGAATATTTAAATACTTCAACTCGAAAATAAATATAGAACACGAGTTTATGAATAATGAAGAATCCGAATAAGATAGTGTATATGCAATATTTGTTGTTAGGGCTGCGTGAGGGGCTTCGAATGACAGGGGTAGCCATGGTTAATATAAGGGCACAACCAGGGCTGCAGGACCTATCCAAGTTAATGAAGAACAAATCAGAAGCACGATGGGGTAATAAATTCGGCGCAATTCTGCTCCCAGTTTACTATCACAAAAGCGGGAATGATCCTTTAGAGTATTTAAAGAGTGCAAAGGCGACGGTCGACAAGAAGAAACACTCTCTCGAGGCTATTTTCTCATATTGGATCGGAAGTCTCGTAATGTCGTTGTTAGGATCGAAGGTATATAATTATATACCGTCAATGCATTTAATATAAACTCGGTTTATTAATTTTACTTACATTATGAACTAGTTTTTTTTTTGCAGTATGCTTGTATGCTTAACTACAAACTACTGTGCAATACTACATTCACCATCTCGAACATTGTTGGTCCTCTAGAGGAAATTTCACTTGCAGGCAACCCTCTCTCCAGCATTAAAGTCAACACTTCCAGCCTACCGCAGGTACAATAAATCACCCCAACTGATTCCTGAACAAAACTAAATTATTAAATGTAATCGTCAACGTTGATCAAAGGTGTAAATCGATGAAATATTAGATATAAAAGTTTAATTAAATTTAAAAGAAAATTAGGGACTTCATTGAATTTTTTTTTAGAAGTTTGAGGCTTCTATCACCCTAGAACCATTTGAATTTACATTTTGGTGGTGGGAATGCAGGCGATAACAATGCACATGTTGAGCTATGGTGGTAAAGCTGAAATGCAAATATTGGTAGCAGAAGATATCATCCCTGATCCACAGTTTCTGGCTAAATGCTTGGAAGATGCCTTACTTGAAATGAAGCAGGCTGCTCTACGGACCTATAATTCACTTTAATTAATTGCTCTACAATACTAATTCATCTAGAATTTTCTATGCAAGAATTTATCAAATAACGTTCGTAGTAAACGAGATGTTATTTTCTTTAGAATTTCGTCTAATCAATTAATCATCTTTCATCTTCCATGACTTTTGAGATATTTGCACTCTAATGAAATGGAAACTCTCTGGGCGATCGTTAGCTGGAGTAATGGGTCCTCAGTCTCTCTTCTCCTCTTCTAATTGTTCTTTCGATTTGGCTTTCCTAGTTTGTTTCTTGATTTTATTGCATGGATTCTTCATCATCGGGGCTGGACTGGAGGAAATTGTTTGTGGGTTCGAAGGAGCAAGTTCTTGAATTCTTTCCCCCTGATTTCCAGGATGGAATTGCAACTGTTAAACCTTTGTCTGAGGTCATTGAAGAAGGAATTGCTGACTGGAATCTTGCGCTTGTGGGGCAGTTTATTGGTATGACTCCTAGTTTCGGCTCAATGCAGCGTATCATTGAATCGATTTGGGGGAAATCGACGCGAGTGAAGGTTAGTCTGGCTGGCCCTAACCTTTATGTTTTCCTATTTTCGAATTTTGATTTAAGGGAATGGGTTCTGGAAAACAGTCCCTGGCACATTCAGAACAAGCCTCTTGTTCTGAGGAAATGGGAACCTGGTCTGCAAAACCTTAATTTTGACCTATCCCATGTTTCGATCTGGGTCTAGCTTTACAACGTTCCATTGGAACTCTATTCTCAAAGGGGCCTTAGTTACATCGCGAGTGCGTTAGGTAATCCCTTGTATATGGACTCCATAACTGCTTCTAGAATGAGACTTGAATATGCCAAGGTTTGCATTGAGGTTGAGATTGGCAGAGTTATTCCAGATATGATCCATGTGCTTCTTAGTAATGGTTCTTTAGTGAGAATTAAAGTGCAGGTGCCTTGGGTTCCTAAGTGTTGTGATAAATGTAAGGCTTTTGGGCACTAGGCTATGTCTTGCACTGAGGCTAGGCAAGCTGTTGTGAAACCCAAAGAAGTTAAAGTTTGGAGGAAAAAGGATGTTATTAGTACTCTCGAATCTGATAATAAGGTCAGCTCTTCTAGGATTGATCAAAAGGAGCTGCCTGAACTTACATCTGTTCAGCCTGTAAATGCCTTTGTATCCACTGATGTGCCTTGCAGCTCTAAGGGAGAGCTCTCTCAGGGGGATGATAGTATTATTGATGATAAGATGATGAGAAAGGGATTACATGTTGGTTTTGCTGTCGATATAATTGTGCAATCATTGCAAGACCATAGTGATGCTAAGGAAAAGGCTATCATGCAGCATACTGTTAATCCCTCTGTGAACCAACTTGCAGCCACAACAGCTGCTGTTGTGACACAGAAGGAGGTTGATACCACTCAGTGTGTCAGTAAACATGTTACTGAGGATACATGGTTAACTGTCATCTAGGAGGATGCAAAGTATGTTGAATTTCCCTCTCTACAAGATTCTATGAAAAAGAAGCATAGGGGAAGGAAAAAAGATGCTACTGGTTCTTCTGGCAAGGCAGAAGTCTTGGTTGATGGTCCTAGGAAGGCTCGTGCTGCCTCTGTTGGAGTGGCTATGCTCCTTAATGAGATTAAGGCTAAGAAAAATGACCATATTGATAAATCTAAGTGTGATATGGTAAATTTGAGCACTGGTAGTGGTGCTCCCACTATTTCCTCCTGATGTTAGTAAGTTTTTGGAATGTTAGGGGGATCAATAACCCCCTGAAGCAACTGAAGGTGTTTAGGAGATTGGTTTCTCTTGAGGCTGACATCATTTGTCTTATGGAGTCTCGGATCAAAAGTGACAATTATGCCAAGTTCATTTCTTCCTTTTCTGGTGATTGGAACATTGCTGATAATTATATTGCTGTTGAGGGAGGTAGACTGTGGATTCTATGGAAAAATATTTGTAGCTTTCTGTTTTGAGGGTATGTGATCAGGCTATTACAATAATTGATACTGTTGGAGGGTATAAGACTGGTATTACTACTATATATGGCAGTAATAATGGGGTGGTTAGAAGGAGGCTTTGGGATCACTTGAGGTGTGTTAAGAATGATATTGGGTCTTCCTCATGGGTGATTGGAGGGGATTTTAACATTACTGCAAGGGCTGAGGAAAGTTCTAATTTTGATATTATGGGTGTGCATTCTACCCCTGACATGAGGGATTTTCAAGAGTGCTTAGAGGACCTCGACTTGATTGATCATCTATTCTTGGGGCCCCTATTCACTTGGTCAAATAGGTAGGAAGGGCATTTTTTGGCTAGGAAGTTAGATAGGATTTTAGTTAATCCCTAATGGCTGCTAGACTTTCCTGAGTCCTTTGTTGAGTTTAAGGCTCAAGGTGCTTCTGATCATTGCATTGGCTTACTGTGGTCACACAAAGGAGCTTTGACTAAGAAACCTAGGCCTTTTAAGTTCTTTAACTACTGGACTGCTCATGAGGACTTTTTGATGATTGTTAAGGAGTCTTGGCAAGTGCACTGTGCAGGATCTGCTATGCAATGTTTGTTCAATAAGCTGAGAAGACTGAAGCCTTGCCTTAAAGAATTTAACAAGGTCCACTTTTATGATATTCTGGTAGAGTCAGAAGCAAGAGAGCTGAGCTGGAACAAATTCAAGTGTTTAACATGTCTCATGTTGAGCAGAGGAGAGTGGAAGAGGAAATGAGTGCCAATGCTGAATTAGTGGATCTGAAAGTGGCTGAATCAGGGTTTTATAGGCAGAAAGCCAAGATACACTGGTTAAAGGAGGGGGATCTGAATACCAGATTTTTTTCACCAGAGAGTTGAAGTTAATAAAAGAGAAATACAATTAGGGTTATTAAGGGTGAGGATGGGCAGTGTTATGAATCCTATGATGATATGGCTATTGAATTAGTGAATTACTTCACTAATCTAATTGATTTTGCTGACCTATTAGTTATTGGTAGCACTGTTGAAAGTTTATTGAACTATTCTTTGCTTGTTGAAGCTGTTGATCTCCTTACAAAAGAAATGGATGATGTGGAGATTAAAGTGCCCTGTTTAGACAAGGGAAGGATAAAAGTCCTGGCCCTAGGACATTATTGGGGTTGATTTTGTGTTTGATGTCAGGTACTTTTTTCATTCCTCTTGTTTACTGCCAGCCTTCAATGCTACAGCCTTAGTTTTGGTCCCTAAGTCCCTTAATCCTTACTTAGCAAAAGATTTTAGGCCTATTTCCTGTCGTTCAGTGGTTTATAAAACCATTACAATAATTCTTGTAAATAGGCTAGTTCTCTTTTCCCTGCTATGATCTCACAAAGTCAATCAACATTTGTTAAGGGCAGGAATATTGTTGATAATACATTGCTAGCCCAAGAGATTGTCAAAGGCTACTCTAGGAAGAGCCTTTCCCCTATGTGTGCTATTAAAATTGATTTGTAAAAGGCCTTTGATTATGTTAATTGGGGTTCTTGTTGACTGTTCTTAAGGCCTTGGGTTGCCTGCTATTTTTTGTAAATTGATCAAGACTTGTATTACTACTCCTCTGTACTTTGTCTCCTTAAATGGAAGTTTGGTGGGGTTCTTCAAGGATAAAGAGGGATTAGGCAGGGAGATCCTTTATCTCCCTATCTCTTTGTCATTACTATAAATGTCTTGTCTTCCCTCTTGGACACTGATGCAAATAAGGGAATTTTTAAATTTCATCCTAAATGTAAGAGAATTTCCCTCACTGACCTCTGTTTTGTAGATGTTTTGTTAGTATTTTGCAATCAGTTGATGTTGTGTTGGGAGTACAAAGTACTTTAGAGAAGTTTTATGAGGTGTCAGAACTTAAGCTAAATGCTCAGAAGACTGAATTCTTTGCTTGTGGTTTGAATGAGCACATTGTTGAGCATATTTGTAGGGCTACTGGGTTTAGGTTGGGACAACTCCCTGTTAGATACCTTGGGGTACCTTTGGTGACCAGGAAACTAATTGGTAATGATTGTGCTGCCTTGTTGACTAGGATTAGAGAGAAGCTTAGTCAATGGTCTAACAAAAAACTCAGCTTTGGGGGTAGGCTGTAGTTAGTTAAAATTATTATGTTTAGCATGTTTAACTACTGGAGTAGACAATTCATTCTTCCCAAGGGGATTATTAGGGATACTGAGAGGTTGTGTATGTGCTTCTTTTGGAATGGCAGTGACTCCCCTGCCAAAGATGCCCATGTGGGCTGGAGCCAGATATGTATCCTGAAGTCTGAAGGTGGTCTAGGGCTTAAGAACCTTATGGAATGGAGCAGGCCCTATTGCTTGCTGCTAGTCCGGAATATCCTGGCTAATAATGGATCTCTCTAGATTGCATGGATTAAGGAGTACTGCTTCAAATAAGTGAGTTACTGGGAGGTTGTATGCAAACCACACTTCAGTTGGATCTTAAGCAAGTTGCTTAGACTGAAAGAGGAAGCCAGGACTCTGTTTCTCCCTTGTGCAAACTGGAGCATTATAACTGGTAAATGGATTTGGGACAATATTCGTATCAGTATGGAAAAAGTTGCTTGGCATAGACTTATTTGGTTTCCTGCTCACATTCCCAAATTTTCATTAATTTCTTGGATGGTCATCCTTAATAGGCTACCTACCAATGATAGACTTGCTTGTTTTGGTTTGATTGTTGATAATGTCTGTGGGTTGTGTGGGACTGGTATGGAGTCTCATGACAATCTCTTTGCTGACTGTTCTTATGCTAAGGATGTTTGGGATTCTGTTTTGACTGCTTGTGGTCTTTCGCATGAGTTTCATAGTTGGCATGAGCTTCTCCATTAGTTGATGGTTAATTTGAAGGGTAAATCCATCATAGTACATATACTCAAGCTTGCGTGGACTGGATATCTCTATTTTATATGGAAGGAACGCAATTTTAGACACTATAGAAGGTTGGCTTGTTCGGCTGAGGTAACTGTAAATAAGCTAAGGGAGGCTGTGAAACTTAAACTGTATAGACATGACATGTATATGATTGATGATGTAAATAGGCAATTGTTCATGAATTGGGGACTTATCTAACTGAGGTTGGTTATGTTTGTAGTAG